CATGTCCTATGGTAGCAGGTTGAATGTGGCAGTAGTAGCCTACTGTGTCCAGTGCACTGTGGATGTATCGAAAGTTGCAAACCAAATTCCAAAACTGGGTAACGTCAATCGAGATGCAATCGCTTTACAATAGTAAAATCCAGACATTTGTTGAGTTTAAAATTTCAAATGCTATTAGTTTGTTAGTTTTTCTCATAAGTGTCCTAGCGATTTATCGGTGATCAGCTACTCAAGTCTTCCAGGACGTTTAATCGATTGCGGAGTGGCAGATCGCATGAAGGAAGCTGCTCTGAAGCTAAAATGACTTTCAACAGGATATTCTCTGGAGCTGCTTTCGTCGGCAAAAGTAAGATTAGGACATAATCGTAATTCTTTCACTGATATGATTTTGAATAACGTTTTTTTGTCTCGCTGTTCACAGCGTGAACGTTGTGACGTATGTGTATGTTGAAGCCTGACCTTAGCTTAGCTTCATGTAAGCACTGCAGTCACACACAGGCGGGTTTCTCCCCCATTAAGTTACGCATTATAAGAGTGTTTTTTTAGCTTAACGTTAGTGATTTCAAAATTGTTTACCCAGCTGTTGCGAATGTATTATTATTATGTTTGGTCTAGTTAACAGGAATGATTGTAATCCAATCTGTATCCACGTTATAACTTTCGCTCATGTATGAAGAGGTATTCACGCCAAACTTCTATCAGGATTTGTGCGATTTCTTTCCTCTCTCTCCTGCTTCTTGTAAAAACAAATTCAAATACATGCTGTCAAGTAATTACTTCTATGTTTGCAATGGTCCATTCCTGTAACCATGGTATTGATGCGAACCTTCATGTCTGTTTCAAGTCCAGTCAGTGTGCTTGTTTATGATGTTGTGCTGTTTTCTCTTTTCTTGCAGTTGGATCCAGGTCTGTATTCACAAGCTCCAAGCCTGACAGTGGTAACCCCAACTGGTTGAGAGTGGGCCTTGCCTTTGGAACATCTGCTCTCCTTTGGGGCCTGGTAAATGAACACATCATATTATCATCTCTAAAAATGGATCATTTGTTGTTGTCAGAGTTCTGTGTTTAATTCACACAAGGGGTTCTTTCAGCCCATTGAGTTCATGTCTGTCCCATTGAAAGGAGACCAAACTGACCTATTCAGAAATGTATAGGCCTGCATGTCTTTTGGCAAGATGAAATACTTTTATTTCTGAATCATGCAGCAGATTGTATCAGGTCAACTATTCAGCATTTATTGTACCTCAAAGGGACAGGAGAGGGCAGCAATGTTTTATTTTTAAAAAAAATAAAAAACGTATGTCACATTTTGGATTTTCAGTGAAGCGTAGGCTCAGGACAAAAAAAACAGTTTGCTTATTTCTAAGCAGAACAATGAAATATTTCCTCATGGCATATGGTGTGATATTCTCATCGTAAAAGGAGCATTCCTTGATTTGATTAATGTAGTTTAAAAGAGAAGTCCTATAGTGAAGATTGGTTTTCTTATATTGTTAAGATTTCCTTTTATTTAATTCCAGATGGCGATAGATTATGTAATGTAGTTGAATATGAAGAGTGTTCTAATATAACCACTTGGTGCCATTAAACGACTTGTGGTGTCTGTCTTCCACCCGCAGCTCTTCAAGCAGCACAGTGCGGATGTACACGAGTACAAAGTGAGGAATGGCCTGGAGTAACCCAGCACGCTGGTATGTGAGTGTTTAGTTTGTTTAGATGTTACTATAATCAACGTACAGTATACCATTATGCCTATATATGATGTGATGCCATATAGCGTTATTGGTATTCTGCCATCCAGTGTGAAGATGTATATTCTATAAATAGATGAACACATTTAAACATGATACTCTTGTCATTTCTTGTCCTGTTTAGGGGTCGTCAGGTCCTGTCTATGGGATGCACCTGTTTGTCTGCTTCTTTCTGTTTCCACTGCTCTAAATTCTGTGTAAAATAAAAAAATCGAACATGTGAAATATACGTGAGTCATGTTCATTTTGTCCGCATACATTCACAGTTGCTGTGGTTGTTTTATTAATAATATACATAATATGTTTTGTTGGACAGGACCTCATTCTTTGTACGTGGAGTTATTCAAATTACAATGTTGACGATTTGACAGAAGTCATGATTTTCTTTTTTTTTTTTAAGAGTCTGGAACTGTTGTCAGGGCAACTGCAGATTGATTGACAGCTAGCTGGCAATCGTACTTTATTACTTATGTTTGCCAGAGATCGGGAGTACATTCCAGCATGCACACACAGATGACTGCGGTCAAGGTCTCCAAACAGATCACGGCTCAGTTAGCAACTGCATTTAGCTCAACTCAAGTTAGCTACATCGTGATACATGACCAACATATTATAGCTGGCAAGACTGAAATTAGAACCAAATCAACTGTTTCATGGCTCCGATTATAACTGGCTGGACTGATTTAGTTAATTTATGAACATGGTAACAAGTACCGCTCTAAAGGCCCAGATTTATAGAGGCATGTTCAAATTTGAGGATTAGCACCAGCTTCTGACAATAACAGGAAACATTATCGAGAGAGCTGGCTCCTGAATATTATGAAGTAGCATTACCGGTTAATGTTTGGTTAGGTATTGATAACAAAGCTGCTCAGTTACGATCAAATACATACTACCGGCTATGTGAGTTAAGCGGCGATGAAAAATAGTGCCAAACAAGACCGACTGTTGCTCATCCATACTGGGCTGCCTCGCTTTAATTTCTAATGTCACTTCTGAAGGCTTTTTGGAAGCGAAGCAGCAATCAGCAGCGGGGGGGGGGGCCTGTTCAGATTGTTCCTTGATACTGAAGGAGCAGTGATTCAAGGATCATTTGTTATCATTATGCAACACAGGGATGCAGTTGTATCCCATTTGTAACACAACAAACACATGACAAACATAACTAAGCAAACACAGCAGTGCATTCCTGCGCATGTTGGGGAATTTGCATCAGGAGGAATGTCAACAGCAACAAAAACAGATAATATGGCCGATATCTCCACATAATTCAAAATGAAGGAAACATCGTCCATCAACTTTCAACATGTTTGAGCACCAAGCATCATGATGTAAACACGAAGTCCACCAGGAGTCCTGCTCTCTGTCCTGCTGTCCACCCACCAAGTGCTGCTTGATCCAGGATGCCATGATGGAGTCACCGACCTCCCGTCACAGGGTTCTCCTGAAGTCTTATTTCATACCATCTTATTTTCTTTGCGCCGCGTTTGGTGTGAACGCACCTCAACATTAGCCACGCGACTTATAACTGGTGCTGTCACACAGCGAGCCTTTATCATCGAAACAAGAAGGCAGCCTATGAAGGCAAATCAGTGTCAAAATCCGCGAGCACAAATTAGATCCGTGTATGTAGAGGTCCCACGCGTGCAAATCAAACAGCCGTGTACGTGTATTACTTTGGCGAGCGCTTTTACATCACTCCGCGCAGAATATCTCTGCTCGTGGAAGCAAAATTTACACTATTTAATATTTAAATTTTTTGAAATTGCTAACACAGCCGTTCTCGGCTTACACAAGACAACAGGTATGGTAAGAGAGAGAGAGAGAGACAGAGACAGAGAGAGCACAATTGCCTACTATCTCCAAACTGTTCTCTTAGCAAATGACATGTGAATATTAGTGTGTGGAGTTATAAAAGGTCATACAGTAGCTAACATAGAGGACAACACTTAAGTAAAATGTGAAGAAACCACAGCAACATTATCTTGTGCATGAAAAACAGAGCCTGTAAAAGCAGAGTTGAGTACAGGAATGAGCAAGCATGAAAAAAAATGATAACAGTGTCATTTTGTGTGCGGCCTCGACCTTCTGTGCTTCTTGTGACATGACTCTTCCAGGTCAGAGGGGTGGAGCTGATGAGAGTCACCATGAGGTATGGAGGGTGATCGATGCCATGGAAAGAAACAGCAGCAGGGAGGACTGCTTTAAGTTGACACGCTTTGGTGGGAGATTTTTAAAAAGCAGTTGAGAAGTGCAGTTGTAGAGGTGGATATAGCACGAGTATAACTTTCTACACTTTGTTATGGTATTTCCCAGTATCATCTTATATATCTTAGACAGGTTTTGAGCATGTGGTGTGCGTGTGGTGTAGAGGATCAGTGGTAGTCGTGAGAGAAAGTTATTTGGACATGGTAACCCCCACATGCTGCTTTGAAGAGGATTGATGACGAATTCCATGAAATGTACACCTTCATACTGATCTATGTCAGATTGTCTTCTTGTCTTTATTTCTGGTGGTGCAACGGATCATAAAACTCATGGTTCGGATCGTATCACAGATCAGAGTCACGGATCAGATCAGAGATCAGATCCGCACAAAAGAAACAAGGGAGCAAATATAACTTTTAGATATGCCTGATCCTGTTTTTTTGCTGCCGATACTAAATGCCAATCATTATTGATCATAGATTGGCAGATACAGATCCCTCTGTTGTTTGATTGTTTTTTTTCTTTATGAAAACACACAATGGTCTTTTATTGACAAAAACAAATCTTGTCATTAGTAGTTTTAATGATGTATTATAAGCTGCTTAGAGCTAGTGTAAACAGCTCATAATTCATCTCTAATATCTATCGATGTTATTGTGAAAACATCTTCGAACGTCTATGTGTATTCAAGTTTCTCACCAGCACTACATTTTACGAGGTTACATGTGAACACATGTTAATAAAGTTATAATTTTCCTTTGGCCAATACTAATTTTCACTGAACAAAGCTTGAACGCATCATAATGTAACTGATCGGAACCTTTGTTCGTTAGCCATTAGCGGTGCTGCTAACGTTGCTAGTTCTCCTGTCAATTTAAACACGGATTGGTTGTTTACAATGTAACATCATTGAGGGTCCGTCGTCTTTTTAGCCACTTTCATATGTTGAACGTCCTCTTCCAGGGGTCCGAATGACTCCTCATACTCCTCACCTTCCTCTTTCTGTGGCATTAAGCACCCTTCATACAACAGCGCCGCACAACCACATTGCGCAACAGAAAGCAAGTGTGCCCTCCGCCTCCTCCTCGCACACGTTTTTTGACCAGACCAGCCATTCATTCATCCAGCACTTGCTGAAACGGCTACATTCATCCCCCCGCACCGTATCCCGGAGAGCAGCGATGTTTTCCTGCAGAGCGGCTTGGCAGAGGTGTGGGCCTCTGGCGCGGAGAGCAGCCTACAGGTTGCCCCGGGATGGTGAGTGTTCATCACTGGGACTATTGGCAAAACACAAAATCTGAATTTCTCGTATTATTAACCGTTGTCTTTAACGCAAGACTTGCGCTTTTAAATGTGACGTTTTCTCGCATCATCCGTCGCCTCCTGACTGAAGTGTGTGGAATAGTACACGTTGTCCTCGTGCGAATGTTTCTGCATAGCTGCATTCCCCCACCAAACTGGAGAATGGCAATGGCTGCCCATAGGATGTGAAGGTCAACTCGAGCTTTTTTTTTAATAGGTGGGGGGGGCTGAAGCTGGGCTGTAACACGTTTGTGGTGTACTTTCATTTTTCTTATTTAAAGTGTGCGTCTCAAGAAATACGGGTATACTGTGAGCCCCGGTTGGAGTATTTCCGAATGACAGTTACCTCCCTTCTATCCACAGAGTGTTAAACAGAGCAGCAGACTGCAGGTAAAACCCGCAGCGCCCTTCATGTCACTTCTCGGCTTGTGTCAGTTGGCCCTTTTTTATTAAATGACATGTGACGCGTTATACGGTACCGGTGTAAAACTGGCCTCACCGTGCACACGTGTCCGAATAAACGCGGGCACGCGCCCTCTCTCTCTCTCTCTCCTCTGGGAAGTTCATGCCGTTTGAAAAGCGACCGTGAGGCATGTATATATTCGTGTGTGACCTTCACGGGCTGCGGGTGGCGTGGAAACATGGTGGCCGCTGTCTGTCACGTGATGCGCTCGTGTGACTGCAGTCTAATGTAAAGAGTGCGGCTGACGTAAACTCTCTGACGTCAGTGTCAGCAGCTTCTCTCTCCATCGCTGATAATGACCTTACATAACCACAGGTGACACGTGGAAACATTGGAAACTACTTAAGGTAGAGTGAGTGAAGATGTCGGCCTAATGATAGAACACCAGCTGAAGGGGGTGTCCTTCAGTCAGAGGATCGGTAGTTCGATACCCGCTAGTTCATGTTGATGTGTCCTTAAGCAAGACACTTTACCACTTAACAAGAGGATGGTATCATGGTCTAATCCTCCTGACATCTTGACCTGCATCCCCCTCCACCAGCCCCCCAACTCCAACCTTGCTTAGACTTTAGCCGGTAAAAATAACAGGGTGTCCTGTCAGAGCCTTGGACTCCGGATTAGTTTCTGAGAACAGGAAGAGTTTAACCCCCTCAACACTGGACATGACAAGTCCCCGTACACTGGCTATGGATAAGTACTACACACAAACCCACTTCCATACAGCCAAACTATCTACTACAACTAGTTAATGACATTGATTCCTTTCATGTAATCTAGGGTTATTGATGACAGTGTCCGCCTCATAGAGTACATTAAATATTCTTTAATCGCTATTCGGAGCATTAATACAGCAGCGAACAACCGCTATCCATCTGTGTTTTTGCACTAAGGGTCTGTGGGGCACGGCCCCCACCAGAGGGCACTGTTGTACAAGAAGTTATAGGCTTTTCTCCATTTCAGATGCAATAATGGCAAAGCTTTGTCTACTTCATAAAATGTTTGCAATTTGTCATGTTCTGAATGAAATCTCTTCTCTAGAAACACATTGCTTTGTTGTGTGTGTAACTTGTGTGTCTTTGTGCCTGATGCTGCTTGGTCGGGCAGACCCGGCCCTACTGCACTGATCATGAGTGGGGCCTGATAGCCAGGGTCCCTAAAAGCATCCCATTGGTTGATTTTAAGGGGTGCAAGGGTGTACACGTGATATTGTACTTACATTAACGTTACAATAGTCGTGATGACTCGTGTGGATTATTTAACTATGGTACGATTTACCACTTTACACCGTGAGCAAAAATTGGAACGTTGCCTCTCAGCTTGACGGTGCCTACAGACAACCGTCAGACTGAATAAACGGGTCTGCTCTTGGCAGAATTCTAACTTGTATAAAGCTTTGTGGAAAGTGCGACATTGCCTTGCGTGGACATGACGAGTCTGCCGGCTCGGTGAACTCTGGCCTTTTCAAATGCATATTTAAATGCGTATTAAAAACCCTATTTTCGGGCACTTCAGCCATTATTCAAAAACAAACTTTTGGATTGCATGTACAATGTTTAAAAGGATGAGGTTGCTCAACAGATGACAAATGCACCTTTGGTTGCTGGCCATGAGCAGGCAGGCTGTTGGATGTTGACCTTTGGTGGTCATATGTGTTGGTATGGTAAGATATGTAGTCGGATCTTCATCGTGTGATTTTTAGACGGTGTTATTCGGCTGAAATTCGGTCGCCACTGCTGTTGGTGATACATTGGTCATGGCAGTGTCTCCACTCTCACTCACGTACAGCGTATGTTTGGATTGCATCATCACATTTTCTCGTGTGAATATTGTGTGGCCCCACCCAAAATGTTCAGACCAAAATTGCCACTTCTGCTATCTGTTCAAGGATCATTCATTGGCATTATGCAACACAGGGAAGCACAACGAAATTCAGCTGCAACACAACAAACACGTGACGAACAAAACTAAAACAGTAGTGCAGTCCTGGAGCGCAACTCTTGAATTAGCATCATAAGGAATGTAAACAGCAGATAATATGGCCGACATCTTCACATTAAACACTCAACATGAGGAAAAACATTATCAATCAACTCTGACTATGTTTGGAGTCAGTTGAAACAACTGCAAGGCACTCGTGTGTCCTGTTACCTGGATCTATTTTATGAAAGGAATTCATTTGGGTGCTGTTTAGGTGCAGAGTTCATTGATTTACACAGTTTTTATAATGAAATGTTAAAAACTGACTTTGTTTAAGTGATGTGATGTGAGGAGTATTGGTAAAAGTTGTGGACTCCAGTCAAATTTTTTTATAAATAGTATTGTTAAATATTAAAATGGATTGTGTGACAGGCTCAAACCGAACTGCGTACCCGAGGGTGTATGCATCACCTTGCAGGTATCAAACAAGCCCTGACGAGCCTATTTTTTGGTAAACTTGATCTACTCTGCTGAATCCAATCAGAGCGTGAGGCATCGTGAGCCTCTGGGTGCTTTCTCACCATATCTCCTTCTACACTGAGAGCTGAAGCTTCGGGCTTGTGCAGCACATTGTTGTTATCCAGACCTGTGGGATCTTTTGAAAAGCTGCCATGGGTCAAGTGTCATCAACAGTTAGGACACATGGAGGCAAAGCAGCCGATGTGAACAGTGAAGGCGAGGTTTATCATCCTCTGTGTTCTGTCTAGTGGTGCAAAGTATCATACAACTCACGGTACGGATCAGAGTCATGGATCCGGTAACCGATCGGATCAGCACAAAAGAAAATAGAACTTCTAGAGATCCCTGATCACGTTCTTTTGCCGCCGATACTATTTTTTCTTCATAAAAACACTCAATTCAAATAATAAGGAAGTTAATTAATTATTCTACTTTAATGGATTAAAACAAATGTTGTCAATAGTAGTCCTAATTATGTATTATAAGCTGTTAGAGGTATTATAAACAGGTCATAATTCATCTCTAATATCTATTTATATATGTTGTGAAACCGATTTATTCAAGTTTTCTCACCAGTTTAAACACTGATTGGTTGGTTACAATGTAACATTATCAGAGATCGGCAAACAGAAAGCATAAATGATGACCTGATCACATGTTTTACTGAATGTTGATGGATAACGATCTTCAGTAAATCTATATTTCACCCTGCGATGGTTCACGTTAAACTGTGTAATCCGTGGTTCACGTGCGTGCCGAACCTTGAGGGGGGGGATCAATACGGATCGACAGTGGTCCAGTACTAGTTCTGTCACTCTATTCCTTTCAGTGAATCACTTCCTGTTTGAACCTTCTCTAAAGCCCCCTTTTTGGACTGCAGGAACCTTCCCCCGGGACTAGTAGGAACCTTTCTACCTGCGACCTGCAGAGGCCCAAGTTGAAATAAAGTTCTGGGGACACTCGACATTTACCATCCCTTGTCCCCTGTCATGTTGCTTCTCATATGTCGGCGGACCAATTTGCCTAACCTGGGGCTGTTGGCCCAAACAGACGTTTGAATATTCGGTCTAGATAAACACATATTCATGCCCTCGCTAGCAGGGAGCCTCCGTTTGGATCCCACCGGTTACGTGGTTTGTTTGCACGACGTAACATAGCGCTTGCTGTTGCCTCTGCCAACATTACAGTCGTTGTTGAATTATTCCTTGTCGAGCTTCAACCAACATTTCCATTCAATGTTAATTAATGAAAGTGGCATTGATTGGCTCCTGTCATGCGGTTCATTCAGCGCTTAACATGTGACCTTTTAATCCTTTCCAGTTGTGCAACGGCGACCGATGTCATCCGTTCCTGGTGGGTCTGGAGAGAACATACTCTACACCCTGCTGTGTGGTGGAGCCTTTGTTGGCGCTGTGTCATACGTAAGTTGTATTGTTTTTCATCATTTGATCATCATGATACTACCACGATACTAACCTGCACTTAAAACCATTGGCATTGTATCCTCAACAAAAGGTTTAAGCACTCAAGTGCAACAAATGAGCCAATCTTGTAGAATGACACAATTTGCAAAGTACCTGTAGTTTTAAATCCTTTCATTTTACGAACTGGAACTCCTTTCCTCCTCCCACAGGCATACAGCACTGTGAGCACAGACGGCGCCAGGTTCGACGACCGCATTGCAGAACTCAATGCCAGACCCAAGGTCGAGTGGGTACCTAAGCCATGGCCCCCTAAGAGTAAGTATTCCTCACCTGCCACTCTTTTCCACCACTCTACCAGACTACACTAGTGTTGATTCAAGACCAGATCCCCTCCACTAGCTCGCTAACTGTAATGTGTCACACTAATAATGATTCTTGATAAAACGTTGCTCACGTATGCTTATCGTGCAAGTACAAGCCATATTAGGGTTTCACCTCCCGACAGCTGGTTTTATTTTCAAACTTTTTTCAGGTTGGCAAATTATATTGATTTAAAGCTCCAAAGCTTTAATTCCTTATCATCTTTTTAATTAGGCACATTGAGTTTGTGCCAGTTTATTCACATACTCAAACAATGACAACATGATGTTGTTTTATACTTTCATTTTGTTCTGTCATCAAGTCGCTCACAGAATTAGTGTTCAGGCCAGACGGAGAGTTTTCACTCTGCGTACTTTCTGGTATTGGAGAAGATGGGAGATTTTCAGATCCCTTTTGGATCTCCACATCCTCCTCCAGTGCATTGCCAGTGAGATGGTTTGATGTCAATCATCAAGTGGTTACTGGAACTAGTCCAGCCGGACGATTGTTTCAACGCCGTCGACTGAAAGTTGCACGCTTTAAGATCGAGGTTGCCTCGACACTGTAGACCGTAAAATATGGACATGGTCTCTGTGCCGTCACCCGTAGTTTTAAAAGTGGGCGGCTCTAATGGTTAGCGTTGTAGCACAGCAGAGTGCAGTAAGGAAACACAGCAGAGACTCATTTCCTCTCAATACAAACATCCTCTGGTCCAGTACACACGACTGTGTGTATTTAGTTTGAGTATCATATCAGTGTTTGTGATCCCTGATAGTCTGCTTTCTATTGGTTCTGGCTAGCAGAATCTTAACTGCCCGTGCCCACTTATCTCATCCATCCTAATGTGGAGGAGATAAGTTCACTTGATCCATTTGACAAGTATGAATGGATCAAATGTACCAAATGACAGTGTGCTCCCAAATCCCATCAGCAGCAGCACAATCACTGCACAGACACTAATGCGTAGAAGATAAATCCACTGTGTAAAAGACTTTGCTTATGCTAAGTCTATCCATCACATACGGTCAGAAAGGATCACCTCCAAGCATTGACAAATGTAGTTGGTTCCACAGAACTACAGTTTTAGGGGTTGTAGAACTGCATTTTTTACTTTTGAGGAGTCTTTTGTCCACCTTCAAACCAAATATTCCATTTTTACGAAGTTAAGTTAATGCATTCGTTGCTCCCCAAAGGACAAATCCTGTGTGATAAATAACAATAATGTTGGAAATTGAATATCCATTTCAAAAAGCATACCTAAGACAACAAATGGCATAACTAGCGTGTTTGTACAGAAACTAATTGATTGAAATGCATATCAAAAGTCATTGTTCTTAAGCTGTAACAGAATGTAAACTGACCGTCCGACTGTAACGGAAAGAGAAAAGTTAACGACCTTTGCTGAACCTCTGCGTGTCCTCACTGCTCAGCTACTGTCACTGTGGCTTGATTCTATGACATGAATGGTGTTTCTGTTTGCTTGCAGGCCGGGACGAAGAAGAGGGTAAGTCGCGTCGTCACAGACCTTCAGCATTCCATTCATTAACACTGCCTGAACACTTTCTGAATGCTCACTAAAATGCTGTGTTGAGTTCGGTTATGGGCTGGATTGGGCGTCTATGGGCTACTTTTACTATCCTGACTCCAACATTGGTTGCAATGAAAGTTCATGATGGCACTAATCACTGTGTATTTGTTTTAACACTCATGGTTCCAAGATCAGCCCGCCAACGGCGGGAAGGTAATTAGTCAAGTGACGTACACATTAAAATGGCCACACCTAAAACGGAGACGATTGTGACGGTAGTCATTCCATTGCCGTCAATGCCGACCGAGCTGCAGACTAAAGAGCTAAAGCTGATATTCATGGCTGACTTATTTGTCTTTCATCAGTGAAGTGACACACATTTGGTTAATATTTGGCTCTAGACGATCACACAAAATAGAAGTTTGTTGGTGAGCTATAGGTGAAACTGAGAATGAGGAGCACTTTTTGTTTTACTGTCCTGTCTACGGGGACATGAGGGATGTACTCTTTAGTAAAATGACTTCCATTCATGTAGATTTCTTTTGGCTGGATGTCTATGGAAACCTTGAGCTTGCACTTCAGGAAAGCAGCCTTTTCTTGTAGCAGATGTTATTCGCCAGGTCTGGGATAGAAGGCAGAATAGTTTAAGACCGAGCGGTGAAGTAAGCTGTTATTTTGTAATTGAATGAAACTTAATGGAATGTGTCCACTGCAGCTGTAATTTGAGGGTTGGGCACGTTCATGACATGAAAATAAAGATATCAGTCAATATAGGTTAAATAATGGATTCTACCGATGAACTCAATTTGCACAATATAAGAAAAGGATAGAACAAAGAGGTTAGCAGAACAGGTTTTTAAAATGGGGAGGGGTTTGAACTGAGGAACATAAATACATTTACAGCAATCATTTAGTGTCAGAGTATCCTGAGGAGCTAAGCTTTGTCGGTGCCCATATTTGCAACTCATTTTTAACATAATCCTATTCTGCATAGAGCTTGGCTATACTCGGCCAATCCAATTTTGACAAATCCGTCCTCCCATGTGACCCCAGTCTCAACTCTCCTGAATTTTTATCCTACTGGCCAAAAGGCTTAGGCCCAATCTCCAGTCTCACAGGCTTTAAGGTCCTCCAGGGTTTAGTTCTGTTCCACTGTCAAATCATCCAGTGTTTTAGGACTCTTTCAGACATTAGGAACACTTTCCGTCACTCCACATTTCTGTCGACTTTGCTCAAGGGAATTACCCACAATTCATAGCAATATGACGTTAAACACGGGGTTACCAGTGTTAAACAAAGAGGACGCCACATGGGTGTTCAGCCTGTCATATTGCATTTACTCAGAAACATTAAGGATTGAAGATTTTGTCATTAAAGCTGTTTTTACAAAAATGAGTGAATAGATTATTTGAAATGACCTCATCTTGTGAGGAAAGTGCCTGGAAGACGTTCAAATCAGGGAGTAAGAAATGTAAAATGAATACCCACATCATATTGTCATGGTAACTTGAAATGTTGCAGCAAAGTTGTTCCATTCATATTCACACCATTTCATCTACCAGGAGATGTCAGTTAAGTCCCTGAGGGTTTTGGGTTTCGGGCCTTAGGGGGGGACCTTGGGATTGGGCATTAGTCTCCATCTGTCTCTTCCTTTGGTACCACTCGATCCCTCGTTTCTCTCTCTTCCTTGTCTCCCTCATACTTCTCTGTGTTTCCAAGAGGCTTTAGATAAAAACAATCGATATCTCTGCTCCAAGTGAGACAAACTGCTGAGATTTGTCATAGTTTGCTGATGACTAAAGCTTGTTCTCACTAGAGCGCTCGCCATCAACCTCACCAGTGCATCTTGGTAGCAGCTCATACCCATTTATTTATTGTCTTTTGCTACCTACACACCGCTTCTGTGGTTGATTTGTAGTTTGACGATGACCTTGTGTAAATTGAACTGGGCTCTTTTGAGAGAGCAAGAGTCCTTCCTCCCATTTCTCTAATGCTTTGTGTCTTTGCTCTTTTCAGTGTAATGGTAAAGCTAAGGTCCTCTGTGGCCGCATGGAGATCCGTCCTAGAACTGGATTCTTTGGATCTGAAAAGGGAAACAAAAATCCCTCTCTCCTCCCTCCCTCCCCCTCCTGTACTGATAAGAAAGAGAGTGCTCCACTCAGCCTAAAACCTCGGGACAAGTCTGTGAAGGATATTGATTCCGTGCACCGTCCATTATTTTTTTGTTTACCCCTCTTGCTGATAAATGTTAATGTGCAACACTGTGAAGAGGATAAATGGACTCGACAGAAGAGTCTGAAACATTCGAATGGATTTTTCTTTAGTCAATGGACTTCATCACTGCTCAACACCACTGTGGGTTTTAAGGAGAGGATTTGTTTATGCGGGACATTTGATGAACATGTGCTGTAGATGTATCTGTGGTGAGCGATTATTCATCCACTGTATTTGCAGCCGCAAAGGGCCACTTCAAAAATCATTCAAATAAATCGTTATGCATTGAGACTTGGGGAAACCTTTTTATAGCAGTCGTGTTTTCAGTATGAACGTAGCATTACAAAACATTCGAGTGGATTAAATGGTTGCAAGTCGCTTCCTTTGATCATGATCCCGGATTGAGCTTTTCTAGCTACGGGGTTCATCTTTCCATAGTTTTCTAAAAGGAGGAAGAATACTAGAAGTGTAGACTCAGTATAGAGGTGTGTCTGGATGTCCACCACTGTAAAGTCTAAATTGAATTAATACAAACCGCCATTGTCTTACCTTGCGTGCAAATGTGGATCGGAACAATTCTGAATTCCAAGCGTAAAGAAAACTCCAAACTGAAGCAGCTGTCGATGACTTGCAGCACCTCACGGCCGGTTAACAGCAGTCGACGATCCTATAAAACACTGCAACCATACAGCCATAAATGTCCCCAAAATATATTATATATATTCTAAAAAATAAATGTTAATGCATGATCCCCTCCAGGCTTGCACCAGGTAGAGAAAATACAGTTGTTATTGTATTTTTCTAAACATTAACACTGAAATGATGCTCACTGATGGCCATAACATTGACCTATAGTTGGTATTGTTACATTTAGCAGGAGATGCCTGCACTTTTAAAAGAGACAGTGGGGATAAATGCAGAACTAGCAGCTCCTCCATGTTGTATGCTCATGTCTTGAGCATTTTACCAGTGGCAGGCCGTGCAATTTATACCTGGGCCTTCACTGCTGTCCTGCAGCGTGAAATACCACCGTATAACCACATTACGGCACCACAGCTATTATTCATTTTTAATGCTGTAACTATGTACGTCTTCGCATTAAACTGTTCGGTAGGAGTCGTTTGAATAATGTCAGGGCATTTAGAAAATGCAAAAGCCTAAATTCAGGAAAATATAATGTTCTCAGCTGGTCTGGCTGTGGGATCCACTGTCATTCCTTAATGACAAGCAGCGACCCAACAAGATTATCATAGGATTTTACTTTCACAAATTGAATGTTGAACGTACTGCTCTGCAACAGAGCTAACACAGCTACACACGGACACTGAGCGGCTTGTAATGCTGATGTCATTATAGACCGGAGCACAGGCTCTGATAGTCAAACAATACGCCCAACATGTCAAACTAAAGATCTGATTGGTTGAACACTATGACAATCAACAATATCGTCCCCATTTACTTTAATCTGCACTGGCTGCAGGTGAGAGTGTGCAGGCCTCTGCCTCTGTTCTTACCTAGAGACACAGAGGTGCGATCTGATTGGATAAAAGCTCTACTTAAAACAAGCTGCACTGGAAGCAGAGCAACTGAGGAAGACAGTAGCTGTGCAATGAGAAAATAAGATAATGGGAAAAATATTTTTGTAAATTATAATAAATGTAGTGTATTTAAGAAAAAATATTAAATTATAAAATAGATATAGCTTTGTGATTCTGTTTAGCCAGCAGAGAAGGCCTTGCAGGCCCTGACGGCCCGCCACTGCATTTTACCCATATCATGAAATTCTAACGGACCAGCTGGCTATTGTCGATCCCAATAGTCACCGCTCAAGTGTTGATCGAGTCAAAGTGGACTCCTGGGCCAGTCTCCCACAACTGTGTGTTTCTGCTGATGGTCAATGTGGATGAAATGGTGGAGGATCTCTCTGTTTAAAGATTAAAGAAGCTCAACCTACTTGGGCTCGCTGTCGGAGCTCCAGATAGCACGTAGTTTGTTAATTGGATGGTAAGAACCAAGATTCAACTTGACCCCCTTCTACCCTGCACCTTGACCCGCACTCCTCTCCTTCCCCCTGCCCCCCCCTCCTGTCTATGTCATGCCCCTCCCTGTCTTTGAGTTTGCATGCGGTTTAGTGTCGTGAATGTGCCGCCTCTTTGTTTTTTCCCAGGAGAAGTATTCACTGAGGCAGTGGTGTGTTTTAGAAGTGGCTTGTCTACAACAAGTGCTTCTGGATCAGCCTGCTAGGTTTCCATCCAACGGCCTGTCCGTCTCATGTTTTACACAGCTGATATACACTTCGTCTAACGAGGTTACACTTGTCTTTGCAATGCACCTCTTGTGATCGGACGCACCACAACGGAGCTCAGCTGTGTCCCCACATGTGTGTTGACAGTTAACGCAACCTCAATGATGGCCATCGGATATATTTTGCGATCAAAAGAGCAGCTATAAAATCGGTAGATTTCATTTCCTATAAATTCTTCACAATAAAAGTCCCCCGTACTTTTTTTTTTTTTTTTTTTTCTTTTTTCTTTGCTGCCTTCTCTTCCTCCCTGTAGTAGTAGTAGTAGTTGAGGTATTGAGGAAAATGAGCTTTGTCAGCAGCCATTCTCATCTTTTTTCCCTGTTGTATAAAAGCTTTTATTTTAAATCATTTTCATCATCAGTAACTTAACAGGACTCAGAGAGCAGGCTGTGCTCCAGCCTGGTTGTCCTCTCTTCCCATTGCTGTCCACAGGAGATGATGATGATGGAGACCTACATTTAATAAACTGTCTGTGTTGTGTCCACATGCTGTCCACACCTCACTGAGACCACTGAGGTGTGGACAGCATGTGGATACAACACAGGCCACCTTGGCATATGGCCCCGGCTGGTCCGATCCTGATCTCCGAGCGCACAGACCTGACAGTCAAAGCGTCCCGGCATGACCGGATGACAACAGTTTGCACTGAAAAGACCCGTGTAACCCCCCCCCCGCCCATAAACCTTGAATGCAGCAGCTAAGAGCTGTGCGAGTTCAGGAGAGGGGCACATCTGCTGTTGTGTGTACATGAAAGAACAACGCTCACTATCTGAAAGCACCCGACATTTGAACAACCCGTTATCTTTGACAAAGATATTCAGCACACGTCTTTTTGTCATCTACATTGTAGAGCTGTCACTACAAAAGAAAAACATCAAGTTTGAATGAATGAGAAACGAATGCGCAACTGTTCAAAAACATTCCTAAGAAAGTCACGTACCCTCGCTCTGCGTCGTTGAACCGTTTGTCCGTCCGGTCCGTTCTCATGAACACGATATCTCAGGAACACGATCTCAGGAACACGATATCTCCTGAACACGTTATCCCAGAAACATATTTTTTGTGTGTGAAAATGTCTTTAAATTTGGCACAAACATCCAACAAGGTTCATCTTGATAAGAATTTGGTGATCAAAGGTCACCGTGACATCACAAAACACGTTTTTGGCCGTAACTCAATAACTCATGTGCTAGCTATGCTAATTACGACACTTTCACATTTAAAAGTATAAAAATAATGAAGAGATGATACTTTGGACGGACATGGATGAACTGCAACAGGAGGTGTTTTTCCACAGTAAGATTGTTACCGGTCAGATGGTGTTCTTTGTATCCCACTGTTGTAAGGGTGGTTTGGATTTTGAATAAAGAGTGACAGCTCTACTACATTTGAGTGCGCCCTCTCCGTTGTGTAGTTCAACACACCTTGGATGGAAACCCAGCTGCTGATAATATAATAATAATGCCGCTTTTTAAAATGCTGATTTAGCTTCTAACATGCAGCGTCTGTGTCTGTAGAAAGCACAGAGCAGCTGCACCGCTGATTTGATATTGTTGAGGGAGGGTGGCTGCTTACTGTAGTAGATAGAAGAGCGTGGTAGTGGTGCTCTGGCTAATGTGCTCCTTCTGCTTCTTGTGTTCCAGCTGGAGAGGAGGAGGAGGAGGGGGAAGTGGCAGCTGAGGAGGCCGGCGGAGAGGCTGAGGTCTGCGAAGAGGAGGCGGCCGCTGATGGCGAGGCAAAGACCGTAGCCGAGGCGGTTTCCGAGGCCGTCGCCGAGGCGGCGGAGGAGGTCGCCGAGGTGGCGGAGGAGGTCGCCGAGGCGGCGCAGGAAGTGGAGACGGTTGCGGAAGAAGTGGCTCACATAGCCGAAGCGGTCCAGGCTGCCGCAGAGCCAGACGCCATCCCCGCCGAGGAGCCCGACAGCAACGGTACGACTTCTTCACCTGAGGTGGTGGTGGAGGAGGAGGCAGCTGCCTCTGAGGCCTGAAGATCCACACAGTCATTATAGGGAAACATACACACACACACACACACACACACACGCACTACCAGACATAACCTCGACTATCTCTAAACCACTTTCAATTAAGAGCCACTGAGAACAGTAACACTGGTAGCTCACTGTCTAGAACCCCTAGAGGGTAGTTGCTTCTCCTTGGGTGCCTGGGTTCACCTCTTGTTCATCATCCTCTATTAATTTCCTAAAGCTGTATATTATTTTCTCTCATATTTATTGGAGTGGGTATCGGGCGCAGCATTGTGCAATTGAAGCGTTTCTTCTCGTAAGATTTCTGTTGGTGTGCAGCGTAGATCACCGTGTGCGATGTCTATATTTGTTCAGATTATAACGGAGCCCTCTACTCAGCAGGCTCCTCTTGGTGTACAGCTGCACACCACAGGGAAACATTTCCAAAGTGGCAAAGAGGTCTTTGTGACTCTTATGCAGTTATGGGTGAAATAAATGTGATCACTGTGAACACAGAATCGGCAGGAACAGCCCTCAAATACTGTTATATTATTGGTATATTTTTGTTACGAAGGGCCTAATGCTATTTCACGAGATTTGACCAAACACTGTATTTCATTGAAAATCTCTGCATTGTTGTACTTCCTCGCCACGTGTCAAAGAGCAGTTGTGTATACCAGACAGCAAAAGGAGATGGCTCTGTACAAAGTGTAACTGCTGCAGTGTGCTCTTTTTATCTTCAGTGTAATGTGAAACTAGTCACCGAGTGATTTAACCCATATGTGATCATTATTTTATTTGACTTATAACTGGCTAATGAGCACTGTGAACATTTTAGGGTAACTCATCAAGCCACACACAATAAAACCTTTATCAAAGCGGAAAGGTTTACTGCCGTCTTTAATTTGTCTGAATTGGTCTTTTAATCCTAATTTGTATTTGAGCTTTTAAGGATCTTTTCTAGCTATCCATTCCACTTTAAAGTCTCTCATATTGAATGTTGGTCTACATGGAACTTGCAGACGTAAGCTCGCTCTTTTCATTTATTAAGTGAGCATTTCAGCTTGACTGAAATGCACACTTAATAAATGCATTTTCATATACATTGCATTTTCTTCTCACTGCTTTCTGCACCCAACTCTACTTTGAGAGATGCACTGTGACCTGTATTTGTCAAGACACACAACCCTTACCTTCTGCATGGTTCGATATGTGCACGATGACCTAAAGTATGTTCCATTTGTATTGTTCAAAATTCCCAGTCTCTTCACAGATACTGTGTATCAGCACCGCTGCATGTTTTGTGGAAAAGGGAAAGAAATTGCATACGTACGTGCGTGTTGATATTTATCATATACTCTTATTCTGATATGGAAGATCTTCATTGGTTTATGGCACTACATCGACACCCTTAGCGACTAAAACTGCTTTCCTGTTGCACCTTCTTCTCCTGCAACTGCTGTTGACGTTGCACCTGCACGTTGTCGCAATCCACCAGATAGATTTGCTGTCACTGGATTTGGTTAAACACCACAAGTTGAGTTACCTTAATGTGGGAAAAAATATATAACTTCAGCATCAGTGATGTTTGGATGGCTGGATTTTGTGTTTCAGTGCCGCTGGCAGCTGCCTCTGCTCTAGATGTACCAAAGATCACTGAAGTAAAGGAAGAGGTGGCATCAGCTGTTGAAGACATCGATGAGTCCGTGGCACCAGTTGAGGAGGCTACTAAACCAGCAGAAGAGGCCCTTGCCACAGTAGAACCTGCACCCACAGAAGAGGTCCCTGCACCAGTAGAGGCTGCACCTGCTGAAGAAGCCCCTGCACCAGTAGAGGTTGCACCAGCAGAAGAGGCCCCTGCACCAGTAGAGGTTGACCCAGTTGTCGAAGAGGCCCCAGCCACAGTAGAGGTTGCACCAGCAGA